CCTCGGCGGGACGCCGGTGCCCGAGAGGCAGATGCTGGAGTCGCCGCCGGAGTGAGGTCCCCGAGAGTCCGTCCCTTTTTGGTAAGGGTTGCATGGAAAAGGCAGCTGTACGCGTCTCTGAGATGTACGGATAGTTGCGCCTGGAAGCGTAACAAGAAAATTGTTCTTTAGTGGCTGGGAAAGAAAAAATGCTGTTTTAATATGTCTCTGCAGTCTCTGATCGCCCGTTCAGTTCACAGGCTTTTCTAACTCTTTCTTAAATTCACCATCAATAGGTTTTTGTTTTCCACAGCTGTTGATCTCAGTTTTTCCAGGCATGACTTGTCATCCTGCTGCGTTCTGGACCGGCACAGTGCGGCATTAATTACTGCTGAATCATAACAGAGTCTTGTACCACAGAATGCAAGTTACTTGCATAAGAAGCAGCAACTTCAGTGATACCCATTCTGCTTCTGTGTGCTGATGTAACCTTCCTAAGCAGCTGTTCTCCACATCTTGGTTTGGAGTTTTCTGGACTGTCATTTCATGAGCTATGGAAGTCACTGGGTCTCATATTTATCTTTTTTGGGCAATGTTAAATATGTCTGCTTAAGACAGAACTCTTGCTTTATGGTGTTAATATATATGGAGTGTAGTGGTATGATAAAATATAAAATAAATGTTTCCATATGCAGAATGGAGACTGATTGCAATCCTATGGAGTTGCCCAATAATACGGGGTTTGAAGAGGATTCTGATTATAGAGACTTCGAAGGAACAGATGTGAAAGATATGAGACTAGAAGCTGAAGCTGTTGTGAATGATGTTCTGTTCGCTGTCAGCAACATGTTTGTCTCAAAAACCCTTCCCTGTGCAGAGGATGTGGCATATATCAATGTGGAAACCAGGGAAAGGAACAGATACTGCCTGGAGCTTACTGAAGCAGGACTCAGGGTAAATTAATTTGTTTAAAATTTCTTAAGCCTCTTTGTTTCAAACAATGATCATGTTCAAAAGGTGCCTAGAAAAATACTTCAGTGACACCAAAACGGCATACATATTCCTCTTGTACTTTTGTGAAAGCCTGTTCTACATGTTTTCTCCTAGAAAGTGGAACTTTAGCTAAAAGGGAAGTTGATGAAAAACCTGGCATTGATTTGGGACATAAAATGATGAAGATTGAAGCAGTAATTTGTTATAGGCACATCAGTCTCTGGGTTTCTCGGGTACCCAGATGAGTCAGTTATACAGCATGTATACAACTCCTTTTTGCCACATTTGTATTTTTTGTGCAGACACGTAGATGTAGACTTCTTTTCAAAGGTCATAATGATAGATTTTACTAATATTCTGAGTTTTGCACAAAATGTATTTGAAACTGTCTAAATACTGTATTACCACTAAGCGCCATAGTAGAAAGCACAGATTGTGATTTAAATCCAGTATCTTTTGTCCTCACATTACTGTACTACCCTGACTGGCAAAGTTAAATGTTGTGATACCTGTTTCCCTTTGCAAGGTGATCCTAACCGCAGAAATTTAACCAGTGATTTCTCTGTTGCAGGTAGTAGCTTATGATTTCGATCAGACTGATGACAGTTTGCAAACTCCATACCATGAAACTGTCTACTCCTTATTGGACTCGCTCAGCCCTGCCTATCGAGAGGTGTTTGGAAATGCATTACTACAAAGACTAGAAGCTTTGAAGAAAGAAAGTCAGTCATGATTTACCCAGAAGTGAAGATGTTTTAATGCGTGAAGGAATTCTTGCTATGAGGCACTGAGATTGTTCTTAAAAACATAATCACAAACATTTTAAGCTTCATTGTTGCATTAATATCTAATTCATGCTAGTACTATTCTATAACATTTTGCTACTGTGGATTTGCGTATATCACTGCTATTAAAAGCCACTTTGATAAATTGCAAAATTAATGAACTTTTTTTGTTTACTTTTTTTGTTTTATGTGAGCGAGTAAGTTGCTTCTTACAACATGAAAAAAATTTGGTCTCTTTTCAAAGTATTATTACCCAAAACTTTAAAAAGAGACTGAATGTTAAATATACAGGTAGCAATTTTTGTGTGTGTGTGCTTACTGATAATTTTATTTGCTTTTTAAAACAGAAGCTAACTTCTTGCTCTACCCAATTAATGAAAAATAATTGGGAAAACTACTGTTCTGCAAAGAACAGAATTTCAGCTTGATTTGCTATACGTAAATCTGCAAATCCTGAGCTTTGGTAACAAGAAAGATGGTTCTCGAACAGTTGAGCATTGCCTATATGCTGACAGTATCGGAGTTAAAAGCAAGGCTCAGTATTATTTCATCTCTCCTTGTCTATGGCAACCAGCAAACAAAAAAATAAATGAGATGTACTGCTAATATATGAATGTATTGTCTGAATCGCAAATGAGTTAAGCACAGAATTAGGATGTAATGGGCTACATTTCCTAAAGATGATGTTATATATGCTATATATGTATGCTATATTGTAACTGTTTGGGAGGCTTGGAAGACATTTTAGCCTGTTTACTATTCTGAATGTGTGTTTACATGATGTACAGGATATAACCAAGAGTATTTTTGCTTCAGCCTTTACTTTCTATAATACAGTACTTTGGTACTCCCATTTTTCACATTTTCTCCCTCAATTGTACAGCGTCCTCCTAATGAACACTAAGTAAGCACTGTAATATTAATTGCATTGTATTGGTTTGAAACCAAAGGATGTATGAAATTTACTAAGACTAATACAAACTGGAAGCTATAAGTTGTATTTTCTACTTAAAAACTGGTACAAATCTCTTTATAAATCTGTTGTTCTGTCGTAACTTTTCAAGTATGTACTGAATGGTAGACTTTTTAAAAATTACAGTTTGTTAGAAATGCCAGTACTGTTGAACTAACATTCTGTGACATTCGTACTTTTTGTGTTCTTGTATTATTCAGTATTTATGCATCCTTATTTAAATAATCCTTCCATTATTCTGCCATGCTTTTGTGGCAAGTACATGCAGCAGCTTTTTGGAGCCACACTTAGGGATATATCGGTTCTCATGAAGTCAGATTCCAGTGACTTTAGTAGAGCTATATTGGCTTCTACCTGCTAAGGATTAGTTATATTAATTGTAGAAGCCTAGTAGAGCTTTTGTAATAGCTTTGGGGTGCAACTATGACTGACAAGACAACTGTAGTTGGCACTTCTGTTTTCCAGAGCTAATTAATTTTGTGTTTATTTTATTATCTTTTTAGGTTGAAACTTCTGATGTTAATCCTCTGCCGTAGGGTGTGCTTCCATGCTCTAAAAATTGTTCATAGGCTCTTGCACACAGGTCTGTGGCACGTGGTTAGTCCTCTGTGAGGAGAATGTACTTTACCAAATTTATATTTGAATATTTTCCCTTGCAGCTAATTTACTTGTTCAATTTTAATGACTAAAGCATTAAATAAATGCACCAGTGTGTTGTAGTTTTCTTTGGGGGGGGAGCAACTGAAAAGGGGGGGCGTGAACAACCAAGGTAATCATGCCCATAAAAAGATCTTAAATATCAAGTAGTTAACAAGCAGTTGAAAACCTTTGGCTGCAAACTTGTGTCTGCTGAAACTTTGTCATGAAAAAACAAGGTAGGTGATTGTAAAGAGAAACCTGGAAAGGAAGTGTTAGAAATAAAGGTGGAAAAATGCCAAAGTAAATGTTACACTGCTAAGTTGTTTTTTTCTTGGACGTCTTTAAAAGGATTTGTCCTTTTGCGTGCTTATTATAAAGCTGAACTGAGAAGTCCTTTCAAAACAGGTGTTTTGTAGGTGTTACCAGAAGAAACTGGTGTTGTTTCTGGTAACGTACTGCAATGTTAACTCAAAAATGGGAAAGCTATGTTGTTCCACTGTGTCTGGGTTTATGGAGGTGAAGAAAATGCTCTCCGATCCCTATCCTACGGCACTGCTGCCTCAGTGGAGGGAGCTTCGCTGGAGCCCTGGCCGTGGTGGGCATCAGTGGGCTGCCAAAGATTGCCAGTAGTTTCACTTGCCCGGAGCCCGAGTGACTGCTGCTTGGCCAATGCAGCTGTTCATCTAGGAATTTAGACCTAAAGAGCCTCAGAGCCTGCCTTGCTACCTGAAAGGATGTCCAATAACCTAATTACAGCTATTTTGGGCTTAGCAGTACTACGTACGTTTTGTCCTGTTCAGCGTCTAGAAGTCAGGAGTCAAGTTCCTAGTTTATTGGGTGCCGCTATCCCCCTTTGCCCTAGGGTAGATTGAATTAGGTATAGAAAAAAAAAAAAAGAGTATA